TTGGTCCTCAGTGTGATCATCATTGCTTATGTACTCTCAGTTGCCACTCTTCCAGGGGGTAGGGAATGAGAGCTGAAAATAGAGAGGAAGAGAACCAAGACTGAGGGCCTCCAATGCCAGCCCTGGGGTTTTATGTGGTATCATACCATACAATTATTATTATATAATAAATAATAAAATGTTTTCCTTACAATAACCCTGTGAGATAGGTAATTTAAATATTATTATAGTTAATGTAAATGTTATCAGTCCTATTTTACAGGTAAGAAAATTGAGGCTTAAAGAGGTTCCATTGAATAACTAGTCAGAATGAAGGCTCAGAGTCAGAAAGAAACAGGATTTGTGGGGTTTTTTTTTTTTTTGGTGAGGCAAGTGGGGTTAAGTGACTTGCCCAGAGTCACACAGCTAGTGAGTGTCTGAGGCTAGATTTGAACTCAGGTCCTCCTGACTCCAGGGCTGGTGCTCTATCTACTGTGCCACCTATCTGCCCCCTAAGAAACAGGATTTGAATCCAAGTCTTCTGATCCCAGTATGGATTGTCCTTCTCATATATCATTCTGCCTCGGTCTCAGATGGAAGTTATCCTCTTCCCACACTCCCAACAGCTACTCTTTTAATTACTTATATTTAAATGTGCCACATGACTATTTCTGAGCCCTCACTACAACACAAAATTGATAAATAAAGACCTGGGAAAAAGAGAGATGTTTATTTATGTTTTTATCCAAAGGGCTGGCCTTCAGTGCAGGAGGCCAGAGTGTTGCAGCCTATGTCTTCATTATTGTACTATACACTGTATTCTCCACTGGGTACTCCTGTTTCTCCAAAGCTGTGTTCTGATTGTCCGTGGGAAAAGTTAAGATGGAGTATGTAACAGATTCTTCTTGAGAAGCAATCTGTAGAGAGAAATGGAATGTTTAGGGGGTCAGGAGAAGGAGGGAACAGGAGAAATGAACAATCTGCTTAGAGCAGTGTTTCTCAAGTACCTATGGACAGTGAGAACAGGGATTTCAGACTTCTCCCCATAAGACATCATTGATGTGCTACTAGAGATTTTCCCAGAAGTGCTGGCTTTTTTCTGAGATAGATTGCTGATATGACTGTTCCTCCTCATATATCCCATATCCTTTCCTTAACCCATCTACATCTATCCTTGACTTGTAAGTGAAAGATAACAAAGTATGTTACAGACACAACCTTACTTGTCCTCATTAGTCCCTCGGCCAAGGCAAGTGCTGTATGGACATACTGAGTTGGAGTAGGCAAGGAGTCAGATAGTACAGATGGGATAGGTGAGGAAACACATAGAGAGGTTAAGTGACTTGTCCCAATATCACACATCCAGTGAGGGATTTAGGTAGAGGCATATTTAGGAATCCCCATTTGAATCAGCACCTGTTTCTGGGACAGCGATTCTGCAAAGCTCCTAACCTGAGCCTGGCAGTCAAAACTTCACAGTCCCTGTCTCCGGGCTTTCTGCCCTTCTTTTCTTCTCATCCCTCATCATTATCCCTGCCAAGCTATTTTTGAAATTCCTCCCTCACATCTTTCCTTTTCCAGCACAGGAACCTATTACTCTCAATTTTCACCACCTTCTCTCCCCAGCCCACATGCCATAGAAGAATTAGAAATGTACACAAAATGAAGAGTTCTAAAGCCCCTCACTTAGAAACCATTGAGACTGCAGGTTCCCCACCCCTGCCCTACACCTTTCCATTCTATGATAAGATTAACTAGAATCTAACTTGGTGTTTCTCTCTTGGGTTATCAGGTAGGCAGTTTGGAGGGGAGTCCCTCCAGAGTACTGGGCTGGGAATGGGGCCTCCTAGGTCAGTTTCAAGCTTAATCTCCAATTATTTGTGATATTGGGGCAAATAATATAACTTCTCTGTATCTCAGTTATCTCAGCTGTACCATGGGGAGAATACCCTATCCCTTCCCTCCAGAAGGAATTTCATGTAGGGAAGCAATAAGGTCAGACTACTCTAGAGTACTTGAGGGCATTTCCTCCATCGCTGGATGCTCATCCAGGTCAAACCCACTAACTGTAGGTGTTTTACAGGGTACTATCCTCTCCCCTTTTCTCTTTCCCCTCTATACTATTTCACTCGGTGATCTCATCAATGACCATGTAACTCAATTGCCATCTCTATGCTGATGATTTTCAAACCTACCTATCCTGCCCTAACCTCTCTGTTGACCTCCGGTTTCACATTCTCCAACTTCCTTTCATACCTTTTGAACTGAATGCCTAGTAGTAATCATTTTAAACTCAACATTTCCAAAGCTGAACTTGTCACCTTTCTTCCTAAACCCTACACGAGGGCTGGGGAACCTGTGGTCTTGAAGCTGTATGTGGCCTTCTAGATCCTTGGGTGTGGTCTTTTGACTGAGTCCAAGTTTTACCAAACAAGTCCTTTTATTAAGGGGGTTTGTTGTTTGAAGTTTGGATTCAGTCAAAGGGCTGCACTTGAGGACCTAGATGGCCACATGTGGCCTCGAGGCTGCAGGTTTCCCACCCTTGCCTGATACCTTTCCAAACTTTCCCATTACTATGAGGTATACCATCATCTTTTTAGTCACCCAGGTTTGTGACCTAGTTGTCATCCTCAAATCCTCACTATTTCTCACTCCTCATTTTCAATCTGTTGCCAAGACCTATCAATTTCACCTTTGCAATACTTCTAAAATATAGTCTCTTCTCTCCTCTGATACAGCCAACCATGGTGCAGGACTTCATTCACCTCACGCTTGGACTATTACAAAAGCCTGCTGGTGGATCTTCCAGTCACAACCTTCCCTCCCCCACCACTTCCCCACTCCCTCACTCCAATCCATCCTCCATTCAGCCACCAAAATGATTTTCCTAAAGTGCAGGTCTGACCACCAATTTCTACTCCATAAATTTCAATGGCTCCCTGTTACCTACAGGATCAAATACAAAATCCTCTGCATGGTTATCAAAGTCCTTAACTTAGCTCCTTCCTACCTTTCCAGTCTTCTTACATTTTGCTCTCTGCCAGGTACTCTTTGATCCAGTGACACTGGCCTTCTTGTTGTTCCACACACAAGACACTCCATTTCTCAGCTGGACCACCCTCCATACCTGGAATGCCATCCTTCTTTGTCCTATCTACCTAGTTTCCTTGGTTCTCTTTAAGTCTCATCTTCCTTTAAAGATCCCTTGAATCCCTTGATTTAAGGAATCAAAATTCCCTTGAAATCCTTAAAATCTTACCTTCTACAAGAAGCCTTTCCCAATGTCATCTTAATTCTATTCTAATCTTCCCTCTATTAATTATTTTCTTGTAGTTTCCCCTATTGTATTGTAAGCAGCAGGTGGGGTGGGGACTGTCTTTTTGTATTTTTTTAAGTACTCTTTGTATCCCTAGCTTTTAGCATAATGTCTGGTGCATATTAGGTCCTTAATTAATTTTTATTGGCTGATTGTTCTACATGAAGAAGTATAGCCAGATTGTGCCAGTCAGGCATTGGATATAACCAATTTAGGGGTGAAAGAACACCTCCATGACTCCCTATTTATGACCTGGAAGGATGTTCCCATCCGAGAGTTAGGACTAGAAATGCCATTATTGTTTGTTTTTGCCAACAAGGAGTACAGAAGTGATAGAAGACCACCCTTCTGGTGTAAAAGTCCTTGACTTTGGAGTAATTTTGTCCTCTTCCTGGTGCAGAAACAATGGCACTGAGGAATCCCATGCTGTATGTAAGTCATTTCAGGAGGGCTGCAGTCCATATTTTTCTAGCATAAGGAGGATCAATGTACAGCACTATTCTCTAAAGCTTGCTCCTCTATGACATGACATATGGTGCCATGAACTACCAGAATTTTCACCCTCCTAAAAATTATACCCATGAATCTGGGTATTTTAAAAGAGGTCTTTATTCCTCTCCAGATTTTATCCAGACTTCCCCCACTATGCTCCAGAACCTCTTCATCCTGGAAGCTCACTCCAAGAACCCTTGGAATTCATACACTGGGAGCACCCTCTACCTCTGCAGCATCTCCCTCTGATTGACCTGCTCCATCACCTCCATTTAAGGAGGGCGCCAGGTCAGCCATATCTTCATTCTTCTCTAGGCTGTGCTCTGAATTTTCTCTACCATACTTTTCCCATCCTGCCACCCATCTCAGGCCTAGAGTTGGGTTTTCTCTTTCACCCTCTCAGTTTCTTTTTATGTGTTGCCTTCTGCTTGTATTTGTATTCCTAGGGCTTAGCACACAGAAAGCACTTAATGAATGCTTATTGACTTGAGGATATTTGCTTCAATTGTAGGGTATCCACTTCAGAGGGAATCAGGAAGCATGATACAATGGAAAGAGGACTGGATTTGGAATCATAGGACCTGAGTTCAAATCCTACTTCTATTACTGTCACGGTGAGATCTTGGGCAATCCACTAACCAACCTGTCTAGGCCTCACTTTCCTTATCTGAAAAGTGATGGGGTTGATCTAGATGGCATCTAAGGCCCCCTTCTAGACCTAGATCTATGTAGGTGATCTACCTTGTTCTTAGATAGAACTTAAGTTGAACTTGAATGAAAGTCAGAGATCAAAGTGAATCTAAGCAAAAAACAGAAATGAAAACTTAAGAACAACAACAGAAAACCAAAACACACAGGAACATTGACAATCTCTGACCAGGACTGTGTGTTGGCATTCTTAAGCCATGGCCAAGACTGTAATCCTTAGCCACCTCCACCTTTCCTCACTGATACTATAACTCAACCCCCAACCCCAGTCACTTCTCAAAGCATGGACACCAAGGCCAATAAGGGACCTTGTACGTGGCAAAAATCCAAATTCACTTTGCTTTCTTAAAATCTTGTGTTGGCCACAGCAAAGGCTGCTGACTCCAGTCAAACCTGCTCAGGTTTTGTTGATATTGCCTTTCCCGAGATGTCTTCAAAATCCTTAGTACTGGGAATGGGAGTCATTGTAGGACATATGTACAGAGAGGAAGACTCCAGTACTTACCACAGTGCTGAATTGTACATCTGGATTGCTTTGGATAGGAGGATCCTGATTTGAGTGTCTCTCCTGTAGCTCCAGATTTGAGTAACAAGGTTCGTTGTTTGGCTGCTCGGGAGCAATGGACAGGGGCTGGCCAGCACATTGGACAGTACCATGTAAATGGCCAGACCCAGAATTCTCATTGAGGATTATCTCCTGGGCTGACCCAGTCTTCTCTGTCTACTGACTCTCTCTCCCTGAATGACCTCTACACTTTCCCATAGCCTTTGTGTCCTGCCTCCAAATTTACCCCAGTTCCTATCTGACTAGGCAAAAACCTAGCTATATTGTTATCCCTTATCTGCAGGCTTCTCTTAGAGTAAGAGAGGAAGATGGTAACCTGAGTCCCTGAGCACAATGCCTGTGGCTCTGATTGGGAATTATTGCCACACCCTCTTTGCTGGGCATAGGAATAGAGACTGGGCCTGTGATCACATTAGTATAAAGAACTTTCTTTACTGAGTCAAGGTCAGTCCCTTCTCTGCAACATGGAGTCTTAGAGATGCTCAGGGCCCTGAGAGGTTGACTTGCCTAAGGTCATACAGATAATATCTTGACACTGGGGCCAACCTTCTATCTACTAGGCCATACCATCTCTCTACAGGAATGGATCAAAATAAAGACTCCATTGTGCCATGGGATATTATATAACTACATTATTTGCCTTTTTCCTTATCAAGGAAAGAATGGAGGGAGGGGGATCTCAATTTCCCTCAGACCATAGCTTCTCTTACCTGATTAGAGTCCAGAAACACCATGGACTTCTCATCAGCTAAAAAGAAACAAAGATGGTTAGGAGTCACAGAGTCATTTCCATAGACCACAGAGAGTTGTCAGGGTGGAAGATGAGTAAGCTGGGTCAGGAAGATGGGGATTTAAGGGGAAAGAGAGAACATTCGGTGTCTTTATTCAGTAACAGCTTTATTATCTTCAGGACTAACCTTAAAGATGTCAGCCTAAGAGAGCATAATCTTGTTCAGAGTCAGCTGGCTTGGTGTGTAGAATAAGGATGGGCTCAGAAACAGATTCATTAATTAAAAGGAAAAAGGGGAAGCAGGACAGGGTGGAGGAAAGGTAGGGGCAATCTACATTTTAGGAAATAATGGTCATTTTCAAAGAGGAGCTCCTTGCAGAATCTGAGACTGAGCTCTCCTTAGGATCATGGCTCTAGAGCCAGATGGAATATCCTGGGCCATGTAGTACAGCCCCCTCATTTTGTAGCTGAGGAAACCAAGGCTGAGGGACGGGTATATGTAACTTGCCTAAGATCATATGAAAAGTGAGTGTTAGAAGTAGGATATGAAACCACGTTCTCTAACCAGTACTTGGGCTCTTTTCTGTATACTCTGCTATCTCCCCCTGGAGAGGACTCATGATTTCATTGTTATGGAGAACTCTCAATGAGGAAACTCTCTTTACCAGTACAGAGCCGGCACCTGCTCTATAACTTATCTTCTTAGACCTCAGGTTAAGAACCTTGAACTGTTTTTTTTTTTTTTGTGTTTTTAATTGATGACTTCATTTCAACATAACTAATTTCCTTTGAAATCCACACACACATACATATATATATGTATACATACACATATATAATTTTATGAATTTAAAGACATTATTCAGAGAAAAGGGGTCCTTTGAAATCCACATATATTATTTTATGCATCTAAAGACATTATTTGGAGAAGGGGTCCATAAGCTCCACCAAAGTACCAAAGGAGTCCATGCCCTAAAAAACGCTAAGAACTTCTGGATTAGAAAGTTTCCCAAGGGTATCAAGAAGTCACATGACCTGCCCAAGGGTTACATGGCCAGTCCAAGTCAGAGGTGGGTCTTGATTCTAGGTCTTCCTGGCTCCTAAATCCACTCTTTCTCTCTCCACTATGATATGTTACTTCTTTTGAAACAGATCTCAAGAGGTCATCTAGCCCAACATGACCACCCTTCTTTCTTTGGCCAGCACACTATTGAAACCATTCAAGCTGGAGAGATATATATTCCTTATGTTGTTTAAGTTCTCTGACTTAATCATCTTCCTTGGGATCACATTTCAAGAAGTCATAATCATAATTTTCCCTGATGTCCAGCATAAAGCTTATCGTGCTTTTGCCTGTAGTAAGCCTTTAATAAATGTCTTTTCATTCATTCATTTATTCACTCATTCTGTCATTGTCCTAGGAGTTGTCCATTTTTTAATCATAGCTCTGCTCTCCCACACCTCTGTCCTTGTCAAAGAGGAGTATGAAAGACTTTTAAAGGGGGTTGTGGTGAGTAAAGGGTAGTTCACAAACTTGTCTAGTCTGGTACGACTATGCATTTAATTCCATAGGCAGAGTATCATATTGGGACTTGGGATGGTGGTAAGGTGGTGTCATGACACCACTTGGGTGTGACAAGGAATCAGAAGGGAAAGATAGGATCCTTGATGTCTAGTGGCCCTAATCTAAAAAGGGAGGCATTTCACCCACATATTTAAAATATATACATTGAAAACATATTAATAGACATGAAGCCCATTTTATTTTATTTTATTTTTTGGCTAGGCAATGGGGTTAAGTGACTTGCCCAGGGTCACACAGCTAGTAAGTGTTATGTTCCTGAGGCTGGATTTGAACTCAGGTCCTCCTGAATCCAGGGCTGGTGCTCTATCCACTGCACCACCTAGCTGCCACATGAAGCCTATTTTAGATAGGTTCATATGCATCTTAAACTATTGTCCCTCACTTTTCTCAGTGCTTTCCCTGGACTAGATAGATCAACTGTGATATAAGAAAGGTAGGAAATAGTCAGATGCCTAGCCTGGCAGCTCACATGCTTGAATTTTTCTTTGTGTACTTTTTGGGGAAATAATAATAATAATAATAACTAAAATTTCTACAGTACTTTCCACATATCTCATTTGTTTCCCACAACAACCTTTGAGGTAGGTGCTATTATTATTCCCATTTTACATATTATGAAACTGAGGCAGTCAGAGGTTAAATGACTTACTCAGGGTCATACTGCTAGGGAGTGTCTGAGGCCAGACATGAACTCAGGTCTCTGATTCTAGGACCAGCTCTCTAGCCATTATGCCGCCTAGGGAAGTAGTCTGCTTTCTTGGGGCTGTTTGAAAAGCCAAAGGACAACCACTGCCCTTGCTTGGCAGCTATTTTATTTTCCCTCCTAAATTTTACAATGTCTCACTTGGGGGTGTCTCCTGGGCCTTCTTAACTTCAGGGCCCTGAGTAGTGCATAGGCTGCTCTCTTCCTTCTTTGGAAACCTGGCCCCCAGCCACTGTTCATGTCAAAAATAAAGAACTAATTAAAGATTATAGGGTCCCCTACTTGACTCCTCATCCTTCTATTCAGGATTATGCCCTGCACCCCACTTACCACCTCTATCACTGACCAGGATAAGCTAGTGTTGGGTAGGATTTACTGGAGTGATTGGAATGACTAGAGCTGGATAGGGTAGTTTAGTCAGGCTTTCTAGAAGAGGCAGTCTTTGAGTAATAATATTCTTGGGGATGAGTTTAGGGTGGTAGAAAAGAGAAAAGATATTCTCAGAAGGAAAGAGGAGGTAAGTGTGAATTGAGTATGAAAAACTTCGGATGGGTTGACAAAATTTACTTGACTGTGCCCCAGGGCCTGGGGCAAAATAAGGGCGGCAACTGGCATGGGAGTCTCATAGCCCTAAATCAAGAATTTAGCAGTTTTAGGGGCAGCTTGGTGGCACAGTGGATAGAGCACGATCCCTGAAGTCAGGAGGCCCTGAGTTCAAATTCGGCCTCAGACCAAACACTTGTGACTTACTAGCTGTGTGACTTGCTAGCTGTGTGTAAATGCTTTAAAAAAAAAAAGAATTTAGCAGTTTTACTGAGAGCTAATTTTTTCCAAACAGGGGAGTTATGGGACCATTGGGCCCTTAGAGAAAAGTGCCCATGCTACTCAGTGCCCTAAACTTAAATAGGTCTAAGAAACACATCTCTTTTCTTCTCTTTTTTTTTAAGCAATTGGGGTTAAGTGACTTGCCCAGGGTCACACAGCTAGTAAGTGTCAAGTGTTTGGTTTAAGGGTGGATTTGAACTCAGGTCCTCTTGATTTCAAGGCCAGTGCTCTATCCACTGTACCACCTAGCTGCCCCTGAGAAACACTTCTACATGATTGATTGATAGTGAAGTTGGAGGAAAATTATACAAGCCCAGCTACCAAACAGAGGAAATGATTCTTCTTCAGCCTGTGAAACAGGTTACTGAGAACTGACCACTTCCTTCCCCAAAGGCCAAAAATAAAGTTTTAAACTGGAGCATGTGAGTGAGACTGCATGTTTGAAATGGAAGGGGAAGCAAAATTTCCCATGTGAAAGATAGTGAAGATCTATTTCTTTCCTCCTCTGAAGATAACTAAGTTCCCCCTTTGCAACTTTCCATGGCTTTTGTTTTGAGTTTCTCCTTTTGGAGAGCCTTAGAAATAGAGAGGGTCTATGGTTAAAGCATCCACTTCACTCTGAACTGCTAATGCACCAAGGAGACCCATAAACTTAGGTGGCTTACTATTGGATACACATCCTAGGGAAGGAAGGAGGAAGGATAGAGAGTCCTGCTGCAGCAGAGAGGGAAAGATACAGGGTATCTGGAAAGCAATTTGAAAACAGTTACAAAACTGTGCATATCCTTTGATCCAGTGATACCATTACTTGCCCTATAAAACAAAGATATCAAAGAAGGAGGAAAAGGTCATATATGCACAGAAATATTTATATCAACTTGTTTTGTGGTGGCAAAGAGTAAAAAACTAGAATCTAAGCCAATTAGTTGGGTAATGGCTGAACAAATCATGGTATATGAATGTAATGGAATACTATTGCTCCATAAGAAATCATAAAGGGGACGTTTTGGATGAATTGGGAAGATTTATATGAATTGATGTAAAGTGAGAAGAACTAGGAAAACAATTTATACTAAAACATTAATATTGTAAAAATGAACAGTTCTGAAAGACTTAAGAAATCTAATCAACTATGATTTCAGAAGATTGGTGATAAAGAATCTTACCTTATGACAGAAAGGTGATGGGACTAATGCACACACATTTTTGAACATGACCAATATGAGTATTTTTTTTTTGCTTGACTATGCATATCTCTTACAAGAATTTTTTTAATGGAATGAGGAGGAGGGAAGGGAGAGACAACAAACACTAGATAATTGAAAAAAATTAACAGAAAAAGAAAAAAAGAAAAAAAGAACATGGCCTGGGGTAGCACACTCACCCTTCTTCTGTCTCATCATTCTCCAAGCCAAAAACACAGCTCCAGCCAATGAAATAATTAAGAGACCCAGGATCAAGAGCAATATTCCAGGCTTGTCAAGAATCCCAGATCTAGTGAAAAGAAGAAAATCCAAAGTAGTCGATGGTCTAATCCCTTCTTCTACCCCTCCCTCTTTCATGTCCAGGCACACATCCCAAGTTCCATCTACATTTGGAAAACTGACCTGCCAGAGCTGGACTGATGATTATAATCAACACTTGGAGAATGATGCAAAGAAAAACTTATTTGGAACTAAGAAGGCTCTCTTGTTAATTAATAACCAAATGTAGAGCCAGAGTCTGGCCCTATATTTGCCACAGGGGCAAGTGATCCAGGGTTAATGGGGTCCCCAGTTTGACTTTCAACTAGGGGAGAAGTATAGCCAGGTGGATAAGACCAATTACATGTCAGAAATGTGAAAATACAACTGTGAACCTTGATAATCGTTCATGAGAGTAAAAGTATGTGCCCAGTTCTGGACATAAATGAATTCTGCACATTGGGACATGTAGTAGAGAGAGTGTTGGACTGACGCTTAAGAGAACTAGTCCTTCATCCAAGTTTTGCAACTCAATAGTTGTGTGACCTAGGGAAAATAATTTTCTCAGCTCTGAGACTTGGTTTCCTTTTCTTCAAACTAAGTAAATTTAAATTAAGGCTGCATTAAGTAGTCTCTAAGATCCCTTCTACATCTGACATTTTATGGTTGTATGATTCAATCAATCAGTAAGAATTTTTAAAGTACCTACACTAGGTGTTGTGCTAAGTGCTAAAGATACAAAGAAAGGCAAAAATATAAAAGAAATAGTCGTTGTTCTTCAGGAGTTTACATGCGAATGCAGGCTGTCTCCTGCATGTAAATAAATTCGTAAATAAGATATATACAGAGTGAAAGGAAGGTAATCTTAGAGGTGAAGGCACTGGCAGCCGGGGGGACCAGGAAAGGTCTCCTGTAGAAGGTAGCATTTGAGGTAAATCCTGAAAAAATCCAAGGGATGTCAAGAGGCAGAGGTGAGGAAGAAGAATAGTGCAAACATAGGGGAAGCCAATGCAAAGGACCAAAGGGGGGAGATGGAGTATTATGTGCAAGGAATAGAAAGTGGACTTGAATCTCTATCATTGAGTGTGGAAGGGAGTAAAGCATGAGCAAACTGGAAAGAAAGTACAGGGTCCAGGTTGTGAAGAGCCTTCCTACCAGACTGAGTACCTTATACTTGATTCTGGAGCTAATATGGAGCCACTGTAGTTTATTGAGCAGGGGAATGACATGGTCAAAAGTGCATTATAGGAAGATCACCTTGGCAGCTTTGTAGAGGATGGATTGGAGAGGAGAGAGTCCAGGAATCTAATTAGATTCAGGGAGTCCAACTAGAAGACTATTGCAGTAGTCCAGGTGAGAGGTGACAAGGTCCTGAATTAGGCTGTGTGATTGGAGAGAAGGGGAAGTGTGCAAGAGATTTTGTGAAGGTAGAAATGATAAGATTTGACAACTGATTATATGTCTAGTGTAAGAGAGTAAGGAAAGAAGATGCCAAATTTGCAAACCTGGGAAATTGAGAGGAGAGTGATACGTTTAACAATAATAGGGACATTTAGAAAAGTGGATGATTTTGGGGAGAGAGAATGAATTTATCCTTACCTTGGGAGTGGCATGGGGTCAGAAATCTCTTCTGAGGTCTTCTCTTCACCTATTTCATTTATGTCTGTCACTGGTATATCTGTTGGTGATGTGGTTGTATATCTATTTGAGGTCACTGTGGGTGCTAGGAAGAGGAAAGTTCAAATCAAGTCCAAGGCCTTGTCCCTTTGTATTTTCTCATGCAAACCCTTGTATATTTCCATTTTATATAGTTTATGATTCATGACAGCAGCCAGGTAGATGACTCTGGGGGATAAGATCTGCTGGAACAGGAAGGACTAGTTTTTACCAAGCCCCACAAAATATGTCTAGATCAGGGGTTCTTAACCAGGGCTTCGTGACTTTGTTCTTAAAAATTATTTTCATAACTGTATTTCTATACAATTGGTTTCCTTTGTAATCTTATATATTTTATTTTGTACCTTTAAAAACATTACTAAGAAGGAGTCTATAGTCTTCACCAGACAGCCAAAGGGATCCAAGACACAAAAAAACCTCTGGCTTAGACCCAGGCAAAAGGCCACTCAGATAAATCTCGAGGTTCTACATCCTTCTACTTATAAATCTTTGCCTGATGGGTTAAAGGTTAGAGGGCTTATACAGAGAACCTTCACGAGATTGATGGGTTACTCAGCAGGGAGGAGCTGGACGTCATGGTAGGGAAGAAGTCAATAGCAAGTATTTTCAGATGAGCCTTAAAGGTGATCAGAACAGCTTTTCTGTTGACTCTGATTCCTTTTTTTTTTTTTTTTTTTTGGCAACAGCAGATATTACTCATGGTGCAGTGACCAGTGATATGGGCCCTTTAAGAGATCTACGCAACCTCTTCCTTTGTTGCATCATGACAATGTGGTGCATTTTTTTTTAATGAGGCAATTGAGGTTAAGTGACTTGCCTAGAGTCACATAGCTAGTAAGTGTCAAGTGTCTGAGGCCGGGTTTGAACTCTGGTCCTCCTGACTCCAAGACCAGAGCTTTATCCACTGTGCCACCTAGCTGCCCTAATGTGGTGCATTGGAAAGTGTTTTAGAAGGCCTGACTTTGAATCCCACTCCTGGTGCTTATTAGCTATGGTGGTGACCTAAAGCAAGTAACTTAACCACTCTAAGATTCAGCTTCTCCATCTGTTGATGGGGATAATAATACTTGTGCAATTAATTACTGTATAATAGCACTTGGGGAGAAAGTCCTCGAAAATCTTAAAGCTCTATGGAGACCTAAGATTTCTTTATGGTTATGAGAATAGAAGATTGAACACACAGTAAAGGAGGTGGCTAGATCCTTGGGTCTATCAAGGTTTGCAGAGAGATTATGGCTTGGTTTGGAATTTCATGGAGGTAAAAATTGGGATGAGAGTTGGAGCCCGAGACTTCTCAGAGCCAGGGAACATCTACCAGTTCTTAAATGTGACTACACTACCATAGATATAAGGTTCCCCTCCCCCCTCCCCACCCAGGGGGATCATCAGCCTTTCAGGATGGAGGTGGGGTCTAGTACAGTTCCAGGGGCACAGGGGTGACTTCTAGGTAAGTTTCCCAGCTCAGTCCATGCATATGAGGGAACAGAGTGGGACTGGAGGACTCAGCCATTCCAATGCAGCTAATGCAGAAGAGGCCTTCTGGATCCCATTGATAATGGCCTCATACCCAACCTACATGGATAAACAGATAAACAGGTACATACCTGCACCCAAGCATACACACACACTATCTGGAGTTGCCAGTAACTAGCTGTGGATTGTTTTCATTGCCTTAAGTTGTGGGAGTGGGATGTGGGGGATAATTCTTGGTTCCATAAGTCCTGGGGGCTAGGAAAAATATCCCTCTTACCTGGAGAAACAAATACAGTAATTGAGAATTTGATATCACTGAAGCTTTGTTCAATCCTACATTGGTACTCTCCTTCGTCAGCTTTAGTGAGGTTTTTCATGGTCACTGTGAATGTGTTGTTTTCAGGATCATCTCTGATGGACACTTTTGATTCTTGAGTATCCATAATTGTGCTACAAAAAAATTTCCAACTTTTTTTGCACCATTTTTTCTTTGTAGTCTTGTAGTTTTCTTCATAGGAACACTGCACAGTCAGTGATTCTCCTACAATACCTCTCACCTCACTGGGGCCAGACAGAGACAAGCAATCTGGAAAACACAAGCTCATGTTGTCATCTCCTCATATGCAAGATTTAAACCAAAGTGGATGGTATCCCATAAGCTTCTTTCCCCTTAAAGGTTTCATCAGAAACCATCACCCTAAGGCACTGGCATGAAGTAGAAGCCAGGGAGACACTGGACACTGTTATTAGATTCAGAGACAGAGAGGACGAGATAATCATGCCCAGGTCTGGCAGCTGAAGGTTAGAATCTCTGTTCTTGTTTCTTTTGCCTTACTGAGAAAAAGCAAAAGTGGAATACTGTCCCCTCAGGAGAGGTGTTAGACACCACACTACTTTGTGACTTCACATAGGAACCTGTCTTTAGGAGACCAGGAGACAAGATGGTGAATTGGATAGAATATAAGACTAAAAAAGAAGAGGCCTGAGTTCTAACCTTAATTCTGCCACTTTGACTTTGTGAAGTCACAACCCCCCTTAAGAACTATAAAATTGTGTATACCTTTGACTTAGCAATACCACTGCCAGATCTGTATCCCAAAGAGATTAAAGAAAAAGGAAAAAGACCTATATGCACAAAAATATTTATAGAGGCTCTTTTTGTGGTGGTATAGAATTAGAATTGAAGGGATACCTATCAATTGGGGAATGGCTGGACAAGTTGTGTTTATGATTATGATGGAATACTATTGTGCTATAAGGAATGGAGGGGATGGTTGCAGAAAAATCTGAGAAGACTTATATGAACTGATGCAAAGTGAAGTGAGTAGAACTAGGAGAACATTGTACACAGTAACAGCAATATTGTAATGATGATCAACTTTTAAAGATTAGCTATTCTGATCAATACAATGATCCAAGACAATTCCAAGTGATTCAGATGAAAAATGCTTTTTACAATCTGAGAGAGAACTAATGAATAAACTCTTGTTTTTTTAAATTTTTTTTTAAAAAAATTGTCATTTATTTATTTTTAACATTTTTTTTGAATTCCAAATTCTTGTCCTCCACCTTCTATTGAGAAGGTAAGAAATATGATAGAACTTATGAACTCTGAGTGCACACTGAAGCATATTTTTTCATTTACTTTATTTTTCTTGTTTTTTCCAATGTGGCTAATATGGAAATATGTTTTTCATGACTTCACATGTATAATTGATGTCATATTGCTTGTCTTCTCAATGGGTGGGGGAAGGGCTAGAAGGAGGGAGAGAATTCAGAATTCAAAATTTTATAAAATAATGTTAAGATAAAGTATAATTATTTTTAAAATGCTTGTTTTCTTCCTTCCTTCCTTCCTTCCTTTCTTTCTCTCTTTCTTTCTCTTTCTTTCTTTCTTTCTTTCTTTCTTTCTTTCTTTCTTTCTTTCTTCCTCCCTCCCTCCTTCCTTCTATTCTTATTTTTCTTTTCCTTTTGCTATCTTTTAGAGTACGATCAAGATGGTTGGGGAAGGGGTCTCTTTCCCCTTCTCTCCCCTCAAGAACAACTAATACTGACTTGTAGCCAAGGCACACAGCAGAGGACTTTTCTCACTACGATGTTTCAGTTTGCTTCAAACAAATTGTGTCCTCTAGTTGACTGATAAATGGCAGAGGCTGTTCTGTTTATGTCTAAGAAAGTAGTTCATGGACATTATTTTTGAACCCCTAAACTCATAGTGAATGATGGAGAATTTTGAGTTCCCTTAGCAATGTGATCCCCAAATCTATCCTTTGAGCCAGAGAGGGGAGATTTCCTAGGTGGCACCAGATTTGGGAGCTACCAAATGAGTAATCTCATGGTTGTGAGTTTCTGAGTTTGAGCTTTGAGGTATCAGCTTCCTAGAAGAAGATCTCTTTTGCATTGTGCTTCTTGGACAAGGAATAGTATTGCTGATAGAGGACTGCCCTGGAATTGAAAGACTAAAGTCATGGCGTGTGTGTGTGTGTGTGTGTGTGTGTGTGTGTGTGTGTGTGTGTATGTGTGTGTGTTTGGTGGAGGTGGGGGTGGGGTTGGGAGGGAAAGAGGAGGGAAGAGATCTGTACCTTACCAATCTGTTTTGCTTTGAGTTACTAGAATAGTACAAGTCCATGGGAAAAGATAGCTTAGCATCTCACTCTCTAAAACATGTTGATCTTTCAGGGTTACTCTAATAGGCCACTTGAATGTTTTATGTGTTTATAGTCTCTCATGAGGCATTTTCCATGGGGAACAAAATAAAAGCTGTTCCATACCCAATATACATATTGTGTATTTTATGCCTCTGTAGGAGATCAAAATCTTTCTATGTAGATTTAGGAGACTTCACTTTGGAAATTTCCCCAGAATAAAACTGAAGGCAGAGTCTAATGAGCCAAAGAGAGAAAATGATCATCTTGGGGTCAAGTCCCCAGGACTAGACCTGGTCTGTATGAGCCCGAGGTCTTGGGGGCAGGTGGATAGGTAAGGGCTGAGTCATGTGTTACATAAGGTTTATGAACTCCTGGGTAAAAAAACTAAATATTTTTAGGTAGGCAATTGTTATTTCCATTAATACAGGTAGGGCTTCAGAAGAGAAAGTAAGTTTGAGAAATGAACAGTTAAGTTGGTATCTGAGAGTAGAAGATAGACTTCTAGACTATGGATTAAATTATAGGAATGATGGGGCTCTTGACTATAGGTAGAGTACCAGGAATATATATTTGCCTGGAGTCTGATCAAGAGGTTATTAGGCTGAAAATGAAGGAGGAAAGGGAAAAAAATCCCAAACTAGCTACTGAGCTAGTTATTTAGAGAGTAGCATGTTCAACATAGAAAAAAAATTGAAGGTTGAAACAGAAATGATTCTGATGAGAAATAAAAGGTGGAGCTGTCTGAAGACACCATTGCGGCTTCACAAGAAAGTCATGAACAAACTCAGTTTTCAAAAGGCATATTGAAGCTAAAAGCAAGAGTAGGTAATGGAACCTAAATACAAAACTGTGGCACAGTCTTGGAAGAATTATGTCAGAGGCACTAAAGCCTGGAATTAGCTGTAGTTGGTAATGAGTGCTAAGGACAATGAATGAAAAAGGTGTTTTTTTTTTTTTAACATATGAGAAGGTAAGGAGAAACATCAGAGAAGGAATAGCACTGTTTCTGCAAGTATATGGAAAAAATGAGAATGGAAGAAAATGAGAAAGCAGAATGACTCCATTTTAACTTTGCTTCTCAAGGTTCTAATGAATTACATTCTGGGACAGCTGTTGAAAGAACTGGCAGATATCATTACTGAAATGTTTTCTGTGATTTTTGAAAGACCATAGAGTTGAGAAAAGTGTGATTGTAGGACAAGAGAAAAGCAAATGTCATAAACTTCAAAAAAGGCATTGAATTTGGACTCTGTAAACTATAGGTCAGCAAGTCTGAATTCAATTCCCAACAACATTCTAGGATACATTACAAAAAAGGACGTTTATAAACATATAAAAAGGGAAGTACTAACCACTGGTCAAAATGGTTTTCAACAAGAACAGACTAATTTCATTTCTTTTTTGATCTAACTAGACAAACAGGTCTTTCTTTCTTTCTTTCTTTCTTTCTTTCTTTCTTTCTTTCTTTCTTTCACCATCACTTAGCATAGTTCCTGGCATATAATAGGAACTTAATAAATACCTATTATTTGACTCACTGGAATGTACCTTGCACATAATAATAGCACTTAATAAATGCCTAGGTGAGTGATGGCAGATCAGTCATTGAATAAGGGAATGGAATTCTTTGCACATTTGTCAAATTTGCAAATGACACATAATGCCTGGCATATAGTCGTTGCTTAATAAAAGTTCACTGATTGATTGATACAAAACTGGGGATGATAACAGGTTGATTGACAAAGGCCAGGTACAAAAAGAAAAGAACATGTTAAAATGATGGGCCAAATAGAATTGGATGATATTTAATTCAACAACTATGTATTAAGCTCCTACTATGCACAAAGCTCTGTGACAGGCACTGGAGATATAAAGACAGAAACAGTGAAAAACAATCTCTTCCTTTAAGAAGCTTACATTCTCTTGGTGGGATTCAGCATACAAATAGGCAAATAAATATGAGATAATTTGAAGAGGGAGAGGGCAGTAACGATTGGGAAAGGCTTCCTGAAGGAAATGGTGCCTGAACTGAGCTTTGAAGAAGGCTGAGGATTCTTAGAAACAGAGGTGGTGAGGGAGTACATTCTAAGTACAAAAAACAGTTTGGATAAAGGCAAGGAGGCATAGAGGCAATGAAAGGCCATGTAATCCAGTTTGGTCAGAATATAGAATGCATGAAGTAGTGTGATACGTGATGTCCAGAAATGAAGGCTAGTGCCAAACTGTGAAATGTTTTAAGTGCTGGTGTGAAGAGTTTGTATTTATTTCCTAGAGTCAATAGGACACCAGCCACTGGAGGCTTTTGAGCAGGAGAGTGGCATGGGCAGGCCAGTGAATGAGGATTCTTATTATCATGGAAGCTGTGTGGAGGATTGATTGGACAGGAAAGAAAATGGTAATATGGAGACTAATTAATTAGAAGCATATTGCAGTAGTCTAGGCTAGAGGTAATAAAAGCCTTGACTAGCGTTGATCATTTGAGTGGAAAGAAGGCACTAGATGCAAGAGATGTGATGAAAGTGGGATCAACAAGATTTGGTAACCAATTGGATATGGGGGTTGAAGGAGAAGGAAGAGTGAATCCCTTTCCTTCCCCTTAAAATGATTGTAATTCTAAAAAGTTGCACGTCTTTGCAATTCACATCCCCTCTCTGGAACTCAATATACTCTTCTATAAAAATGAAGGCATAAGATTGTATCCCAAATACTCCTAGTATGCCATAGTTCAGTGCAGGTGTATTCAGAAGGTGATAGAAACCTATGTTCCCTGGTGATATAAATCTAGATGAGTGTAAATATAATGTGTAAATGTAAAGTGATATAAATCTAGATAAATCTAGATAAAGATGGTTCCATTTTTAAGAATAAGTGTAAGTAAAGTCTTATACTAAGGTTTTTTAAAAATTAAATTTATTTTATTTTTAATGTATGGAATAAAACAAGTATTTGTATAACATAGTATAATAAAAAGATTACTGTACATGAAACTGAAAATCTATTATGTACAATTTGCTATTCCTTTTAAATATATAATAAAGTTATCTTGCAAATTTCTTCTTTTTCTTTTTCTTTCTTTTCCTTTTTTTTTCTTTCCCCTACCCCCTTCTACTCCCGCCTCCATCCTAGAGATGGCTACCATTAGGCACACACACACACACACACACACACACACACACACACACACACACAC